ATTTCTTATAATTTAGCCGGCTCGATGTGTAGTTAGAAAATCGTGGGTTATCTCTAAAGAAATATAAACAAAAACACCCTTTCATAAACAAAACCTTGTTTTCTCTCTCTAAACAATGCTTTTTTTTACGTCAAATGCCATTCTATAAAATAACGCAAGTAAAGAAAAAAAGGCTTTGCAATTACCATCTTCAAAATTTTGTAAACAAATCCGGCATTGATTGTTTTGTTGTCCTTTTCTTATATAATAGTTTAAGAAATAAATTTTTTCTTCCTAGTTTAACAGTGTGTTTTCGTTATTGTTTGGAATAAAGGTCTGGATTTTTAACATTTTTTTTTACCTTCGTCATGTAAGTTGCCCAATTTTGACATAATTATCTAGAGTTTAGAAATCCTTACGTGGAATATTTCGAAAAATTGAAGAATAAATACAATATTAAATTTGGAAAAATCTCTTGTCTATTGGAATATTGTACAAGTGTTGGTTTGTAAATATATTTTTGTATTTACGTATTGAGAATGCAAAATAATTTAGAAAACCCATTTTCTCAAAAGTTTCAGATAAATTTTTGCCTAATGATAATTTATCATATTTTTTTTAGAGGTAAAATAACTGTTATTCTAATTGTTTTCTTAATTTACATGAGTTGGATGAAAATTATTATCGTACGAGATGTATTACACTCATGTAATTTGTAAAGGATTTTTATAATTTACAAATTCTTACAAATTAATTTAATTTACAAATTTTTACCAAAACTTTTAATTTACAAATTTTTACAAATTAATTTAATTTATAAATTTTTACAAATTAATTTATAATTTATAAATTTTTACAAATTAATTTAATTTACAATTTTTTTAATTTACAAATTTATTACAAATTTGATTTTGAAATTTAAAAGTGAATTGCTGAGTTTTTTTCTTTATACGGGCCTCCATAGTTAATTCATTCTTTTTGAAAAGGTTATATTTTCAGAAGCATTACAAGTGTTGTTGTTACTAATCTCCCGTCTGGTCAGACCCGATCAGTGAAACCGTTGACTTAAATGAAGTTCGATACTAGAAGTGGACCGTAACGGTATCTATTTAAGCGAGTAACAGCCTCCGGACATGGATGATCACTTTTGTCTAGTGGTATGTTACTTGGCTTCAAAATCATACGTAGCGGGTTCTGTCCTCTGGATCTGCGCCACTTCAGGCCTTGTGGAAAAAGTTGAAAGATGTCCCATACTAGAGTAGATCAGTAAATTGTCCCCAATGAAGAAACTGTACAAAAGCTTGAATTTTGTTCAAGAATATTAAGTCGGGGTGGGATGTTCACTCATGGGATACTTGTAATACTTTTCCAAACGAATGAATAATGTATACTAACAATTTATAAATTTTATGCAGGATAGATATGCATTTTTGCAATACTTTTCTAAAAATATATGTAACAGAGATGTCTTAATGATCATTTTTATGTGATGTGTTTTGCATAAAACTGAGGGATTATAACTGATGTTGTTGGGCGTTGGACGTTAAATATTAAATTAAATGCGATAAATTTGGAGGTGGGATCAATGAAGTAACCTTTGGTGTTGCAATTATTTATTGCTTTAGGTTAGGTTACAGAAAGGCAACAAATATCGTAGCAAAAATTTAGGGCAAAAACATATGTTTTTCATACCAACTACATTCCTCTTCCTCACTTAACTCGGATTAAAGTTGAGTGGTCGCTAGAGGGCACTTCTGTTCCTTGGAACAGTCAGTTAAGCTATTATAGCAAGAATGGTTACAATGTGGTAATCGGTCAATCGTATTGTTTATTAAAAATTTCAGTGTATTCTACAATGTTTGAAGATATTAGAATTTATCAGAATTTTAAATTTAAAAACAATGATTTTTAACCTGAAATGAAACAAAAATCGTGGAAAGAAAAAGTATACTATTGAATCTAGAGTATTATTGTTATTTCTTTTTTATTCTAAATATATTTACGCGTTCTTAAAAATGTTGCGAAGGAAAGAATATTCTACTTCGAATTAAAAATGTCTTCCTAATAAAATAGAGCGCTAAATAAAAGTAATGCAGTTACTTGAAAAATAATTATATAGTTTAATGAACTTAGCTTAAGAGAATTTTATGCTGCAGACAGAAAAGGAAATGACTATTTCTTAAATTTGAATGGATTCATTAATAGCGGTTTTCCATCGACTTGTTTCATTTCAAAAAGGTTTTTTCATCTGTTCCTGATCGTTTGTTATATTTAAGTTGAAGATCTTCAACCCGTGGTCTGCTGAAGTCATTTTAGCGGCCCCTCATTGGAATTTCAGGCAATTTCAAAAAGTTGCTTTGTCTGCTGTTGTCATAAGAAACGACATTTTTTTGTTGTTATTATTGAGATTTAAATGATTTCACTGATGTGTTTCATATCCATTTGAGATGAAATTTTCCGGAAATGACGAACTTTTCTAAAATTCGACTGTACTATGAAAAACTTTAAATATAAAAAAATTTGACTATGCGTAAAATTTCAAAAATGGTTGGAAAAAAGGTGGATTCTTCTCTTTAACAGGTTTGCTAAGTATTTTAAATCGACTTCAATTTAACTTTTACGAAACCTATATATATATATATATATATATATATATATATATATATATATATATATATATATATATATATATATATGAATACAAATCTGTAAACACCATCTCTTCCCTTAGAATAAGTTGTAGTCTTGTGAAAGAAACCTCCCTTTTTTATATAAATTTCCTGACCACATTTCTTGACAGTCATGTGATCCGCGAATCACTGTGAATTTATTGATGTAGCCCGCGGATCATTTTAAATTTATTAATTTGACCCTTGAGCGTGAAAAATTGAAGCCCCCAAATTTGAGTAATATTTTAAAATTGTAATATAAATATATTGGATTGAGTATTTATTTTATTATTACGTCCAATATGTTGGACACAATTGCACGTTGAATAATACAAACTCTGACAATAAAGTTCAGTGAATAGTCCTGTAACATTAACTAGTTGTCCCTCGAAATAGTCGCATACCATAACTGCACCGCTAAGATCTGCTATACATGTCATGGAAACTTTGCAAGAAGTCTTCTTTTGGGATGAAGTTTAAAAGCTTCGTCACGTTTCATTAGATGTCAGGAATATTGTCAAATCTATCCTTTTAAAGCAAGTTTGAGTCGTTTGAATAGGAAGAAGTCTGGAGGATTGAGATTTGGCGAGTATGGTAGATGTTCAATTTGCCACACCTCCTTTTTTGCCAAGAACTGTTTGAAGATATTGGCTGTGTAAGGGCGAGCATTGTGGTGAGCAAATAACCATGGACCTTGTTGTGGGTACTGGGGTAGTAGACAGTTCATGAAATGGCATCGTCGTTTCCTCGGGTAGAAATTCCTTGTGGATAATGCCTTGGCTATCAAAAAAGGGGAGGAGCATCGTTTTGATGCGTGATTTTTCTGCTCTTTTTCCAACGAGATGATGCAGGAGACAGCCATTCTATGCTTTGCCTTTTCCGTTTCAGGGTCGTACCTGAAACAGGACTCATCCTCAGTGAAAATACAGTTCAAGAAATTTGGCGAAGCATCCGCAGTTTCGACAAAATCCCGTGAAACCTCTAAACGTGCCTGCTTCTGATCGTCAGTAAAGTGATGTGGCACAAGGCGACGACACGCTTTTGTCATCTCTAAGTTCTGGGAAACGATTTGTCGCACGGGTTTACGGTTAATTTGCAGGTTCATCACCTATCATGCGCACAATTAATTGACGAACTTAAGTGATTAACTTCATCACTTTCTCAATGTTTTTGTCACTGACAGAGGTCACCGGTCTTCCTCTATGGAGGTGGTCGGTATTCTTGCGTGGTCCGTTACCATTCGATTCACGGACAGGTACCGGTCCGTGGTCCGGGGGATTGGAAATCACTGCACTAGGCTATCGCGGCCACTTGTAATTATTGGAAGGTAAAATAAAATATATATATTTATTTCCTTGTGTTAGTTATATGTTTAACAAGTAATATAAAAAAGTCAATTCCTACTTAGGTCAACAAAGAAAAAATTTATTTTAGTTAATTTTTAAATATTTACAATTAATATAAATAGGTATATATGTGTAGGAGGAAAATGATGGAATTATATATAGGAATTTCATCAAATCCCTATAGGAAATGATCAGTTGATGGGAGGTGTTAAAATGATGTCTTTTGAAGGTCATTTCCCTGATAAAAGTAAGGGATTTGAATAAATCCTCGACATGTTTCAGTGAAATGATGAAATAATATTGTCAAGAGTTTAAATGTGTTTATTTAACAAATAGGATGCATTATTAAACGTAGAAGTAAGTAATACAACAATAGTTAATTTGAAATACAAAGTATTTACTCGAAACTAATTAAATAATTAGAAGATTAGGCTGGTATTTTTTTTATGTGTAACATCTTTTCTCTCGTTTGCTTGCACACTAAAATATCAATCCCTATGTTAATCCTATGATGCCATTTTTTTAAAGATATGCGGTTGATATTTAGGGGATCGATAGTACTACCTGTATGGTTAGGAAGTACAAAGACTTGACACCACCACCCCAGGTGTCTCTCCACGTGGACAGCATTTTTCCAATTCAAATCCTGACTAGTTCATTTCACTGAAACAGTTCGGGGATTTGATGAAATCCCTTCCTTTCATCATGGAAATGACCTTGAAGAGTCGTTATTTTAGCATCTCTCTCCGTCGATTGATGCTATGCCTTAGGGATTTCATGAAATTCCTAATTTCGTCATTTTCCTTGCGATGTATACATAAGACAGCATGACAATACAAGTGACAAAATGGAAAGCGATTTTTCTTGTAATTTTCAATTTTCCTTTCTGTATAGGATATATACTATCATTTTTGTTTGTTACTATTTATTTATTCATTCATTAAACTTAAGTGTTTCAATAAAATAGTACAGTAAAAAAAAGAAATCACATTCTCAAAAATTAGACCATCCCTGGTGGGATTCGAATCCACTTCCATTGGAATTAGAAGTTTAACGCGCTATCCATTGCGCTACAGGGACACAGCGAGCGATTTTCTTTTTTATATATGATGTTGTGGTGTCCTTTTTACTTGGTATTTTTGTTTGTTACTATTTATTCATTAATTAAATAGAATTAATGAACTGATGTTTGAACAAACTGTATTAACATCAAGTGTCATCCTCTACAAGTTTAAAAAAAAGGGATTTGAACTTGAGTGGATGAATAAAAGATATTTTACGAACGATTGAAATTTTCAACAGGATGTATAACATAGGGAGAGTGGGAAGTAATAGTAGGAATCGAATAAACATCATCTGAGCAATCAAATAATATTATACTTTAAAATATATAATCTGAAGCAGCTAAAAAAATTTGAAAGAAAAAACAGTTCTTCGGAATTTCACCGCACAGAATTATGTAATCATAGAAACCACTTTTTCCTCTAATATATATATTTTAAAACTCATTCATCGAATCGAGGAAGCAGACATCGCCCTAACTGTGCAGACTAATTCTTTCCCATAGCCGATAAATTCCTAAAATAAATCAGGATACATCTTTGACCGGCCATTCCACACCATTGTCTCCCGATGTTTCTGACCAACAAAAAAGAACAGAATGAGAAGAAAGTTACTTCTTATTGTACGATCACAATTAAATAATTTTCAGTAGGCTTAACAATGGGCGCAACTATATTGATCTGGGAGAATGATAAAGGCTATCTGAAACATCATGTAGGGCGTTTTTTCGATGGAAGAAATTTATAACTGGAAAGTATTCTCTTTTTGTGTCCATCCACTGGCGAGGATGGATAGTTCTGACCAGTGTCTGGTTTAGTTTTCCGGTTAGTCCATTGTGATAGCGATTTAGGGATTACGGATGATGTTGGATTGCTGGTAAAGTTTAACATTTTTGTTCTGTTTGGAAGTTTTCGGTTCTTTTGTTTTGATTTGGTTTTTGTGTTCCTAATTTTTTTGTGTTAACGCCTCCATCTTTATTGTTTTAACAAAAGTATATCGCTAACAACTTCGGAAATTCGTCAATACTCCGGAAATGTTTTCTTTATGTTAAAGTTGAGGCATGTTTTTACTCGTGTATATTTATGAAAAGTAAGTCATGTTTCTTTACTTCACAGAGAATATCAAGCTTTTGTTGTTTAGTGTATAAAATTTGTTGCTGAAAATTTATTTTTGTTGGCTATAAAATTGTGTTTGAATACAATTTTTTGTTTTTTAGTTTCTTTTGCGTAAATATTTAGAATCAATTTAGTTTTTCAGAATTCCTACTATTAGTTCATCCTCTCCCTACATATATATTTATATTTCGTTCAAATTTTCAATCGGTAATAAAATATTTTTCATTCATCCACTCAAGTTTAAATACATTTCTTAAAACTTGTATTGGAGGGCACTTGATGTTAATATAGTTATTTCAAATAAAAGTTGATTAATTCTATTTAATTAATGAATAAATAGTAACAAAAAAATAATAGTCCGACACTCTATATAGAAAGAAAAATGGAAAATTTCAAGGAAAATCGCTTTCTATTTTGCCACTTATATGTGGTTCTGTTTTAAGTATATACATATTTATATGAATTGTAATTATTTGGTAAAAAGTAACTGAAATAAAATTTTTCTTTGTTAACCTAAGAAGGAATTTATTAAGTTTTTTTTTATATTGTTTGTTTTTTAGTTTTTTTGGCGTCAATGTTTAGAATTCGTTTAATTTTTACTAATCTACTCGCTACTGTTAACATTAAGCCTATTTTTAAGTTGAAGTTTATACTCTGTATTTTTATTGTGCTGTCATTTATTCAAATCACAGTCGATTCGAGTGAAATATATGGGAAAAGTAATTTTGTTTCTTTGATTTGTATTATTTATGTGTTGTATATTGCCAATCTATTTGCTTCGAGTACTTTTTATGAGTTCAGTTATACATAAATATGTTATATTTTCTTAGATGTATGCTTTTTTTATTTTGGAAATATATTTGTAACGGAATTTTAAATGGACATAGAGGAAGAATTTTTTAGATTATTATCTACCTGCTATTTTTTTTTGTTTTGAAAACCTTTATTCTCATGCGGTTATCAAGAAAACTCGTAAAGAATGTGCATTTTTTAAAACTTTAAAAAAAATCTTGTTAGCCCAAAGTGGTATATTTGACAGCTACTTATAACATCAATCGTTTTACTTTATCTGAAAGTGTATCTTTTCATGATTTTTATTTGGCGTCCTGTGGATGTTAGACGTGGTTCAAAGTCACAAGGCCCTTAACCAATAGATTTCTTATTACTTTAAAGTGCGATGTAAATTGAAATCAATTCTTGATTCTGCTGAATGTTTAGATATTTTTCTGTGGCTTAATATTTCTGAAAAAATTATTAATTATTTAATCTGGAATTGAAATTGATAATTCAATAATTCTAATTGAATACTGATATTTTCTTATTAGCTCAAGGCAATAAATTTAGAATTGGAGAGCTATATTGAATGAAATATCAATTTTCCGACCGAAGGAATCAAGTTTTTATTCAGTTATCTTTTTAAGTTGAGAAATAAAACGTGAAATCTCTACTTACCTATGGTTAAATAATATATCAAATATTGTAAATATTTGATTTGTGTGAAGTTATTAAGTATAATAATAATTAGGATACGAATTGTTTCAGAGGTTGGAAACAAAATTAGAATTCGCGAAATAAAGAGTTCTTTTTTTCTTTTTCATTTTTTTACCCTCATCTTTGAGGCATCTGTAATAATTAAATCAAATAGAGGTTTACATAAATAATTAATAAATAACAAAATAAAGTTATTAGTTCAATTTTTTAATTAAGTCAATATCATTATACATTCAAAAATGAATATTAATTACCTAAAGAACATCATTGGTGATTTGACACTATTACTAGCATGCAAACATTACTTGCATGTTCAGATAGTTTTCATGTTTTTAAAGTTAATTTTGATTCTGAACTTTAAACTATTTTGCTAAACGCTTATTATTTAATATAAAACTATATACCTGATTTACTTTCTGTTACCAAAGAAAAAATACAGTGTTACAAAAATAGCATTACTTTCAACGTTTCAATAGCTCAACGTTCTTTCACTTGTATTGTTCATAATTTTTTTAAAAACACGGTGAGAAATCTTAATTTATCCGATTTTCACACTTGAGTTTAAAACCAACTTTAAAAAACTGTGACCTGCGTCATACAACTAATAGTGTGTTACTTATATAAATATAACTTTAGAAACTTAGATGTGTAATTGATGTATATAAGGATAGTTAATTTAAGAAACAAAAGTAATTTATCTATATTTTTTTAATTTATTTTTTATATTGGAAAAACTCCTCCCAATTACATTTATAGAATGTATTGTTTTAATATTGCATTATACTTGGAAAATTTTTTTTATGCTTCTTAAGAACTGAGTTAGATATTCAAACGCCTGCCCTTTGAAAATTGTTCCATTGAATTATTTAAAACAAATGTTTAACAATTTATTAAATGTTACACTGATTATATTTAAATATAGTGTTGCAAATTTTTAGTAGTATTTCTCTAATCAAAATATCATTGATTCGTCTACTTTATGAATCGTATTTTACGAGAAATAAGTAATTTTGTTTTTTAACACGCATTCTTAATATTATTTTACTTTAAGAGAATATTCCATTATTTTATGTGCCAAAATTTGTTTTAAGAAATTCTATATTATTTGAAAAAAATAAGCTCGTATCATAATAGGTTAAATATCAAAGAGTAGAGTTAACTGATTATTTTTTTGTGATAATTAGTTCTACATGTTCAATTTTTAATAAAGTTAGAGTGAAATTTATATCTGAAATTATTCGACATTTTAATTTTGTTGTACGCAAAATGACGTTTTTATATAAAAAGGGATTAATTTGAAATTTCAGTTATTTTGTCTAAAAAATTGAGTTAAATTTAAATCATAAAAAAAACTAATAAATTACAAAAATTACAAAAAAAAACATACCAGATTTTTTAAAATATCTAATAATTATTTTTAAAAATTTCTCATCCAGATTATAGTAACTATTTATTTTAACTAACATTATAACTAACACATTCTTAACATTTATACAACTATTACTAAAACCGTAATTAACTCTTAAAGTTTGTTTTGCAAATTTTTTAAGATTAAAATAACTATTTCGTTTCGCATGAATTAATACCATCCACAATTCCCTATTTATTTCTTAGTTTTAATTGTTTAATGTACCATGAGCTGAAATGTGTTTAAAAACCGCAATCAATCTTTATAAAAAAAGAAAATTTGCATTTAAAAACCGTAGTTAGTAAAAAACCCACACAGAACTGTTTCAATAAGGTTAAAAAAATTTCTTTCACACTCAAAACCTAAATTCTAAAATTTGTAAGAAAATTACGGAAGTGACATGCATGCTCTAGATCTGTCTGCAATTACAGTTAAGGAACGGCGCATTAAAAAAGGCGGCTTTTACGCACTTGTCTAAGAGGTGAATCGCCGTGGCATAATAATAGTTATTTTACTTCATCTCCACTCGGATCAGATACGAAATTCCCACTTTTGTGAATATTTTCGCAGCTCAAAGGGACTGATATAGTTCTTTCTTCGTGGGAAACGTTAAGGAACTTTTCGTTAGCGTGAGAAATCGAATCTTTTCAAATTGAATGAAATTGCGTTGGTTTTATGTTAAGGGTTACTCGTAAGACTACTTCTTTAGTAATTAAACTCGCAACAATGTTTTTCTGGAACAGTGGTCTTCAAACTTTTTTGATTCACGGAACCCTAACGGGGAACCCCATTTTTCCCCTTAGTAGAATATTTTTATACAATATTTAAAGTAGATCAACATGTTATAGGAACTTTATGGAAAGACAATTTTAAAAATACTCTGTATTCTTTATTAAAATGTTCTAACACAAAAAATATTAACATAATTTACTCACACATTAATAACATTAATTTGTGATCCATGTCTTACATTTAAGAGCTAGGATATGCTGCTTGCCTCTTTT